TTTAAAAATTCCTTCTCTGTATTTGTCTGTGTCCTCCTAAATTGCAATTTCTCTTAGTGGAGCTAAACTAATCATGTTTATGATTAGTTTATGATTTATGCATTACAAATGAACATACTGAATTTTAAGACAAACAGAGACTGTAAAAGTTTGAAGACAAATCTTAATGCAGTATTTTGGGGGGTCACATATTGGATTTTCTATTTTAAATTGTTCAAATTTGATGTCAACACTTGAATTACAACAGGAATTGGAAAGAGCATTTCATCCTGTGTAAGCTACAAGCAGAGCAATTGTTTGAATAATAATAAAAAAAAATCCAACACCAAATAGCTGTAAATTATTTATCACTGTCATTCTATTTCAGATCAGAAGTCTAATAAACCCCCCAGAGTGTTATCTGCGGTGTCCCTTGGGAGTTCATAGGGATGGCAATGTGACACTTCACACTAGAACAGGAGCAGAGCAGGAATTCTTTCCCTTAATGACTGTAGTTCTGTGAATTGCAGTGTGTAAGCTCAGCTGGGCCTTGAATGACTTTCCTAAAAATGACTTTTTGGTATTGTGGTGAATTCAGAAAATTCAAGGTTGTTCTCTTTTCTCTTTGGTACATTCTTTCTTTCTTTCTTTCTTTTTTTTTTTTTTTTTTTTTTTTTTTTTTTTTTTTTTTTTTTTTTTTTTTTTTTTTTTTTTTTTTTTTTTTTTTAATCTCTAAATTAAACCTGAAAGTAGTCCAATTATGCCTCTCTTCACAGTGCTCAGTGAATCATATTTGAAAGAGTGGTAAAAACCTGAGAGCAGAAAGACCAAGTTTGGAGCAGAAAACCATGGTATTCTTGTGGGTCAATTAAAACCTAAAACATGGGGGTATGTTTCTTTAGAAAAAAAAAAGAAGGGTGTAAAACAGACCAGGAGGTCTATGACAGAAAATTTCTATTTCAGCAACAAGCTCTGGGGCTGTGCTAGTGTTCACGTACACCAGAAAGGAGATGTGTTTCACACTGAATTTCCAGGTATTTTGCTTTTATAATGCAACATCCTGAAAGATGATCGGGCTAGAATAGAGTGAGAGGAGACAGAATGACAGTGTTTTACGTTCTGGTTTCCCCTCCCTCTCTCTTGTTCAGTGAGTTTTTCCTGCTGGGATCAAAACCTCTGAAGTGTAGGTGCTCTTTGCTGTGGTGCTCCCAGCACAGGCTGGCACAGAGGTCCCTGGCACAGCTGGGGTGGAATCTGTAGGGTTGTACCCTGCTGAAGTCAGAGCCCTTCCCACAGAGAGTATTCCTCTGGATGCCAGGAGCCTCGGGGATTAGAAACATGAATATTATCTCTTTAAGTAAAACCGTGGTTAGCTGTGAGGGAGGAGGCACCATAGCAGTGACCTTGGGCTGTGAAAGCCCCTTCTGAGTGCCAGGACAGAGCCCAGGGCTGAGGCAGGGAGGATGTGGCAGACTCCCTGGGGATTCCTCCGTGAAGCTGAAAGGGAAAAGCTTTCTGTTTCAGCTTCCACAACAGACTTTGACAGATGGAGAGGTAAAAAAGGCTGCTCCACTTTCACATGTGAAAAGTCTGCAGTAATCTGGAGAATGTCAGGAGTCTGTTCCTGGAGAGCACAAGGGACAGAGAATCCTTCTCATCCCACTCTCCTCAAGGTGCCCAGCAGCAAGAGCTGGAGGGTTTCTATTCTCCCCACATTGTTGTCAATAATTCCTTCCCTTCCTCTGTACCCTGAGGTTAGAGCAGCCAGAGCAGCAGGATCAATTTTTCTCCCCAAAGCATCCAGAACTGGACCATAACCATGTAAACTTGCAAGATGCTGACACATTAGAGAGTACCTTGCCCAAGGGAAATTTTGTTCTTTATTCCCTCTCAGACAAACTAGATTTTTATCCTAAAATACGTTTCCACCTCTTCTAAAATCCCTTTAAAAGAAATTGGACATTTGCAGGCATTTTTTAGCTGTGAAAGTAGGTGGCTTCATTTTATTTAACAGATGTGTCTATAGGCTGTGGATTTGCTGCAGCATGTCTGAAAACTGTGGTCACATAGCAACTGTATATTAACTAAAGCTTTTGAGAGTTGCTGAGATTAAAGTTTCAACAGTGTTCAGTGTGCTGGTCAATGTGCTGATCTGCACGTGTCCAGCTTTGTTTTGTACTACCTGTCAAATGCGGAGCCAGGGTTTTGCAATAATTATGACTGTTATTCAGGGAATTGCTTAGAAATTAAAGGTCATCAAGAAAAAAAAAAAAAAAAAAAAAAAAAAAAAAAAAAAAAAAATCCAGCCTCAAAAAGAGAAGACAGTGATGAAAACATCTAGTACTAGGAAGCTGAAAAAGCCCCAAAGCTAAACTTTAATATTCTCCATGGAAACTAGACACAGGGGTTACAATGTATTTGGTGACTTTACTGGATTTTACTGACTGTTCTCTGGACTGAAAACAAATGCAAATCACTTGGGGAGCAAGTAACCATTGAAGGCTGCATTCCTTTCATTCCTTTTCTTGTAATTTCTCTTTCAAACCCTGATACTTGCTTTGCAGAGTTTATTATTAGCAGCCGTACCTGAGACTGGGGATAATGTTGCAAGAGGAGAACTATAGCTACTTTTTTCTTTAAATAAAATAATGTCTCTTTCTTGGCTCTGAGTGTCTTCAGTAACTTCATTGTGGTATGGAAGGGTGTGGGAGTGAAATAAAACCAGTGATCTTTGAAAAATCACCTTGAAATACCCATTTTACTTCCAGGCTTGGACTGTATTAATCGCTGGCGTGTCCAACATTCATCAAAGTTCTGTTGCCAGTTTATGGAAGAGAAAATTTTTAATACAGGTGTTTGCAGTATCTACTGTGGAAGGTTGGCATTCAATTAAAAAGGGTAAACCAACCCATTTTCATTTAATACCAGATATACAGAAGCAGCACAGCTGTGAGTTATTTTAGTAGGGCTTTGCCAGACTCAGTAACTCCTAGCCATAATAATCTTAATTATAAAGTGTGCTGCTGAGTCAGCCCCATTTCCCAGTGAGACAGTCAGTGAAGGAGTGTGGAGCAGATGCTGCACTGCTCCAGGGTGTGTTTGGCAGTGGCCAGGAGAGAATCAGGGCAGATGCTCCTCTCTGCACTGAGCAGTGCTGGGGAGGAGGGGGAGGCTCGAGCCAGAGCTGCTCTGCACTGGTTAAATGGCCTGAGAGCAGTGCTGCTGTCTGGCCCATGTAGCCAAGTATCTTTTTGCAGAGGGAGAAGAGGGGCAGGGCAGATCTCATCGTATTGTGGGATCTGGGTGCAATTATTTGAAGTTTCTATACACAGATTCAGAAATGTTCCTGTTCCACTATTTTTAGGAATTGTTTAAGCATCTTCTCTTAGAGACCAGTAAATCCAGGATAATATTGAGATGGTTAGAATGCCTAATCTTGTTTCATTCATTATCCTAGGTGGAATAGTCTCTGTTAAGTTGTTGTGAGTTATTAACTCTCTTTTCCTAACTAGAAAAGAAATGTGGTTTTGTTTTTTTTTTTTTACAACTTTTCCGACAGATACTAAAACATGATAAAATGAAAATGGCTTCATGCTGGAATGCACTGGGACATTTCTCCTGAGAATGGAATTGAGCAATACAAAATTAATATTGATTTTATCACTGTTGCCTACTCTAAGGAAAAAAGTCCTTGCAGATTTGAAAGAATGTTCATTTTGTGTGGCAATCTTTTGGGAGTTGTGCTGCCTGTGTTTAAAGTCTCTGGAGGTCCAAGTCCCTCAAGACTGAATGGAGTCCTAAATTATGATCTGTGGGATTCAATGTCTTAACAATTTAAGCTCTAAGAAAAGGAACCAGTGCAACCACAGTGAACATCTGAAGGCTTGCCCCAGAGCCCATTAGACATAACAACTCTTGGACCAGTCTCCATCCAGATCTCCTTCCTCATGGTTACAATTGCAGGTGAAAACCTCTTGCAACTCTTTATGTTTTTCTCTTCTCCACAGTACTTTCAGCTGATCAAAAATTAAACTGACAGAATAGAGTTTAGGTGGATTTTGGCCACCATGACACAACCTGAACAATATGTATGTGTATGAGGAATTTTCAAACTACAGCTTCCAACCACAATAAATGTTTTCCTGATAGCTCCAAACCTGGTTTTGTGTGCACAGATCACCAAAGTCTGCATTCTGCATGGACTGCAGGGAATGTGGAGACAGGAATGAACAGTGCACAGACCAGAGTTAGGTAGATTACAGAGAGCTGATATATGACAGCATGAGTGCTAGGGAAAGGAGGTCAAATCTGACATTCATTACCTCATTCACACCCTGTTAAATCAGTCTCTGTCTTTATTCTCAACTGTTTGTCTTTTGCCACCCACATTCCCCCTGACTCTATCATTATAATGAATAATTCAATGAGTATTTTTAAACTCCAACTATTATTGACTATTCCAAGCTTCCTACTTTATGATTTATGCACTTTTCAGGGATTGCTGTGTGTGTCTTCTGAGTGGTTTTATAAGGGACATAGGGAAGAAGCAGTTGGTGTTTGTTAGTATAGCAAACTAACACTTCATTGAAAGTGGCGTAAGTGATAGACTAGAAAAATACAATTACAGCAGAGAGTAAGAGGGAAGAAGATTCCAGAGAGTCCTTGAGGGTTAAAAGCAGCAAAAAGGCAGTAAATGAAGAGGAGCCATTTGTGGCATTTATGAATGGAGAGATTGCAGGGTACTGAGATTGACTTGAAGGAATACATGGATGGAGCATCAATTATTTGTATAGGTTGGAGGAAAAAAAAAAATCAGGGGAGGAGTTGAACAGGAGCAGGATAGCAAGACCTTGCATTTTAGTTTCAGGGAATGGTCAAAATGAGATGCTCAGGCTGTGGCTGAGGGAAAAAAACAATTGGAGAGAGGAGAATGAGAGGGACAAAAAAGAATAAAAGCAATTCTGAAGCAGAGCAATATTGTTCAAATTGCCCTCACCTAAACCTGTTTTGCTCTTTTACAGTTTACAAGACAAATCATGAAAATGAAGTGTCTCCCCATGCCCAGAGAACAGTGACCCTGCAAACCATCAGTGTGTGCAAGGCTCAGGACTGATCTCTCACACAGCACCATGCCTCAGTGGTAGGGGAGCACCATCCTGGGACTCCTCTTTCTCTCCTTGTCCCTTACTCAGAGCACAGAATTAAGAAAAAGGAATCAAGTTTCTGTTTGCTTTCCCATTAGAGATGGTTTCTGAACAGTTTCCAAAGTCTGGAATATTTGAAATATCAAGGATATCACAGCAACCTATTTCACTTTCTACAACCCTCACTATGTTTTTCCTGTTTCTGATAGCTACCCCCATTTTCTAAAGCTTTGGGAATTTTCTGTATAGGAACAAGAAGATAGATTAGGAGTGAAGCTCTTAAGGAGAAAAACCCAAAGAACTGATATTTCCTTCTCTTCCTTATTTCCCTTCTCTTAGCTATTTGACTTTCCCCTCAGTAAATATTGATGAAACTGAATGCTGGAGAGGCAGGGCTCTCACTGTTAGTCATACCAAAAGATATCAATACATTAAATTTTCAAAATCTTACCCTATGTCCATTCTCCAAGTGCAGCAACTTTCCCATTACTGAATTAGATATTTTGATATTAAAAAAAAAATTCAAACTTATAATTTCTACATGTTATTTTCTCGGACAATTTATTTAAAAAAACAAGATACAGTAAAAAGTATTTTTTAAAGTCACTAAAAAATAATCCAGAACTGTGCTTTTGTCCTAGGAAAGCTATAAATGGGTATTCACAGTTGCACAGTAGGAAAATCGCAAGAAGTTTTACAAAAATAATAGACTTACAGAGACATGGGTAAATTAGGTACATGAGAAAGGATTAAAACAGCTTTCTCTGAGGGAAATTATTTCCACAGAGGAGTCAATGAGTACAGCTATAACTGTGACCCAAGTAAAATGGTGTAGTTCAGTTAACAAAACTTTTTGATGAGACATCTCCAAGGACTTCTACAGTAACTAAGCTGTCATGGAATGAATGTGGATGTCCTCTCCTGAATTAACTGTCAAAAGATAAGAGACCAAATGAAGGCATAAATGGACTGCTTTCTCATGGAGAGGCCATCGGGGGAGCAGTGCTGCATCTGTGCTTGTCAACGTGTTTCTAAATGGTCTGAAAAAGGAGCTGAATTCAATGCTAATGAGTGAGAGTTTATGGAAAAAGCAAGCCATCAGCAGCATGATGGAGAGACTGGTTCAAAAGGGGATTGAATGGGCTCAGAGAAAGAACAGTCTAACTACAGCTATCAAACCCAACCAGACAAATGCATCTTCCAAAACAACATCTCCAAGCCTCCATCAGAAGAGAGGAAAGGTATCCCTGTGGATATTCTTTCTGTTTCTGCCCTATGTTTCTGCTACCAAACTCATCTGCAGGATGCTGACTGGAGTGACTCTGGTGAGGTGCTGGACCTTCTACTGTTCTCATAATCTCATTCCTTCTCTACACAATTCTTCCTTCAGGGAATTAGAAAAAAAAAAAAAATCAATGGAGTTAAAACAATTATGTCAAAGAAAAATAGGGAAAAGCATACAGTGTTTTTTTTATTTTCTTTTTGTGGGATGTGCAGATGCTGACAGAGAGCCTTACTTCAGAAACATCAAAAGTCTGATGGTATTAATAGAATTACGTAGGCCTGAGAAAATAGAAATAATCTGTCATTTACAAGTAAATGACGACTCAAGACTTGTAACTGCTGGACTGCATAATATGGCCACAAAATGCTTCCACAAGCATTGTCCAGGAAATTATTACACAAAATGCTTCCCCAAGCATGAGTTCAGAAAATTATTGCACAGCTGTAGTACAAGTGTGGAGGAGATTAGTAGAGACTTTCAATAGATTTTTAGGTTCTCCATCTTTAAAAATACCTTTCATTCTCAATGCAGCTTGATTGCATATAGTAACTGGCATGAAGGCAAGAAACTGCTATAGCAAAGTCTTGGGAAGAAATTACCAGCATATTTGGATATGCTGACAATGTAGCTGCAGGATGGAAAAAACTTTCAGTATCTGAATCATAGGAAGAAGGACAGGATCATGATTTTGCAACCTTAAACAGAGGAAGTCTTTGAAGGAAATTATTCCCCCCTGCTCTGGGTAAATATTACAATCTTTATCATATTCAGTCCAAGAATCTCCTGGCTGTATTGATTAGATTTTGATTATAAATAGGCAGAAAGAGTCTGTGAAGTCCTTTGTCCAGCTATGATGTCTGGTGCTGTGCTTCTCTTGCCCCCAGGCAGAGATGCAAGCAGAGGGTGATGGATGTCTTGGGACACTATTTCCAGATCACTGGGACAACAATTGGCCAAGGGTGTGGTGGTTAGATCTGCTCTTATCTAAAAAAATATATTTCCCTTCTTACCCAAAGCAAGAAAATTAATTATCAAGTCAGATACTCTTCTTTCTCTTCTTCTTCTCAGTTAACTTCAATCTGGTCCAGGCTGAAGAGGGGATTGTCCCAAGCTTGGAAATTATTCTTAGATTTGTCTCCAGGGTACATCAAAACAGGAGACACACAGGCTCCCATTTGATATTCATAGATAGAAGAAAATAGAGTGTCTTTGTAAAGAGATCCCAGTTTCAACATACTTTATGACCAACTCTTCTAAACTATCAACATGCATGAATTAAATCCATGGAAATTCCACTGCACAAATTTGGCATTACAAACTAGAATAAGATGGTCATGTCCTCAGTTGATCCTAATTAAAACTGAACAGAGAGTTTGCCCTGGCTATGCAGATGTACTCTGTTGGAAAATTCAGCTGCATGGTTTTTGCTTGGCTTTGGGATTATGACATGTTAGATTTATTGGCTCATTTGCTACAGTAAATGAGAGGCTCTGGCTTGGGCAGCCATTGATAGCAGAGAGGTGAATGGGCTAGCTGAGGAGCAGGGCAGGAATGGAGAGAGAACATTTGTTCTGAAACACAGAACACAGTCCCCACACACTGTCCTAGTCCATTATGACTATTTTCCACAGCCACTGGACATGATCTGCTTTGCCACTTGAAATGAGCAAACAAAATTTTTTTCTTAAGTGAGAAGTGTTGTAATGAAAAGAATCTGACAGGTCATGGAATCTACTACAGGAGCTTTTTTGAAGTGAGCTAGCTTCTCTACCACTAGAAAGAAAAGGTATTTCCTGGTGCTAATTTCCATGCTAAGAATTGAAGTGTAGAGAAGGCAAAGGATTTTATATATTCTTGCACAGGGAATCATGGGTGTTTGGTTTTGCAGTTACCTGCTGTGATATCCAAACATGATTTGGGAATCATGAAAATTTGAGATACTTTTGCCAGAGAGTGTAGGCACCTGAAATTATGGATTAAAAATATCATATTTATAAGCCTAGTGAAAATGAGTAAATACAGATGAGACATGATGACTTTCTATGTGACAATATGAAGCTGATGAACGTGATGATCACATGCAAAGAATGAGAAAAATATTTTCCTATGATTCAATTTCTGACTCAGAATTTAAATCTTCTCCTGAAAGATCCCTAACAACACTTTAGTAAGGAGGGAATCTGCCTAACTTAACAAAATTCAGAGAATAAGTTTCACAAAATATTTTAGAGTAATTGCACAGAGGCAACTGCAGATGAGTTGAATGCCAGAGGAAGGACTCTTCCAAAATGTTTTCCCTATTTTGTTACCTGATCATTAATATAAAATTGCCTTAACCTTATGGTAACTGGTAATGATAATTGGTAGTAATAACAGCAAATCTGTAGCAGGTGGTTTCCAGTTTGCTGTATGAGGATTTGAGCTCCTAGAGGAGTCTCATGGGTTGGCCATGGCCCCTGTGACAGAGTGCAGGGTGGCAGTGTCCAGAGCAGGTCAGATGCAGGAGAGGAGCATATGGAGAAATAACATCCACTTGCTGTCTATCCCCAGCTTCCACTCCTGTGCTACTCTGACTGCTGAACCATGAGCCTTCTGTTCTTACAAAGCTGTCCCCAAGGCAGCACCTCCCACTGCCCAGGCTCATGTCCTGCATGTGCTGTAATGAATTAACAGTAAGTGCAGCCTTACCATTGCTCTGATCTGTTCTCATATCACCAGGGGAGAAGTGTTTTCTGCAGTGCTACACACAACCAAGACAGAATTTGATGTGAGTATCCTTTGAAGGATAAAGCAACTGGTACCATAAAATGATTTATACAGTGTCCTGGCATTTTCAGCTACTAAGATGAACTATTATGGAGTATACAATAAAGCTCTTTATCAAACCTGGCTTTTCATGTCCCTTTCAGCTGTAAAGAGAAATGTGTGAGAACACAGCTCCATTGGTTATCCCCAGGGGAACAGAAGGACAATTTCTTCAATACAATATTTGATACTGGTTGGAATTGCTTCTGGATTATCAGCTTCTAACAAAGGAAGTTATTTATTAATAATATGAGAAGCAATGTTGAGCTCAATCCATAATCTATAACCAACTTTACAAAACAAAAGTGGACTCAGCAGAGTCAGGGTGGAAGAGATGGAAGAAATTCTCACTTTGTTTAAAATACTAAAAAAGAAAATTATTTTAGATTATGCAATGGAATAAATTACTTTCCCTGTGATTTTTCTGTGGCTCATCTTCTCCCCCTTCAGGTTTTCTAACCCTTCTGTTGCTCTGTCTTGCAAAGTCTTTGTACTATTTCAAACATCTGAACTACTAATTTGCACCATAAGCCTGGATTTTCAAAGTTAGCTTAAATTTTTGAAATTATAAATGGTTCCAAGGAGCAGCAATTCTCTCTCAATCATGCATTCTGCTCCTTTTTACTGCTTTGGGAAAGTAGCAAGGAAAGCAATAAGGCAAAACACTGAAATGTCCAGTTGCAACCAAAGGTGGAGTATAAGTGATAAATTTTAAAGAAAATAATTGTTAACTAATTGGTAAAAAGCCAAATCTACCTCTCATCTTTCTGTGATTTTCATTAACACCAACAATTCTAATTGATTTTTCCTTTCAGAGTGAAACAGTTGGTATAAACTTAAAGAAAAATAAATCTGTATTTCTACCATTAAGTGTCAGGTTACCAGC